CTGTGTTGCCCAGACTGGAGTGCAGTGGTGCAGTCATAGCTCTCTGCGATCCTCCTGCCTCAGCCTCCCAAGTAGCTGGGACTACAGGCTCATGCCATCACTGCTGGATAATTTAAAAATTTTTTTTGTAGAGATGAGGTCCCACTATGTTGCCTAGGCTGGTCTCGAATTCCTAGGCTCAAGTGATCCTCCCAAAGTGCTGAGATTACAGGTGTAAGCCACTGCGCCCAGCCTAGATTAACAGTCTTATATTTTGTTTTTTCCTGTTTTCATCTTCTCAAAGTGTGGTTCAGGCCTTGTTTGCCAGATCCATTACAGTTTCCGAAGGTGTCTTTGTAGTCAGCTGATGATGGAAAGGTAGAACGAGGTGAGAAAAATAACTCAAAGTGCATGTTTAGAGATTTGGTGAGAAAAGGCTTCGATCAACTATGAAAGCAGAAGAGGTAAGTGCCTTCTGCGATAAGGACTGCTTTTAGGTTTTGTAAAGGGAGTGAAAATGTAGCTAAAAAGTTCTGTGAAACTTGTTGCGACTTAAAGGGATTCTTACCATGTGAAATCTGGGACTCATCAAAGTCTTATTTTTTCCCAAGAGAAGTTTTCATCTGTCATATGCCTTATTTAGACTCTAAAGTCTGCTGGTCAGAGCAGAATGCGTAAGTCCGAAACATGCACTCAATAAATGTTTGTTGTTGACAGACGTCATTGACCATGTCGGGAGTACGCCATTTGTACTCTGCATTTTCCTCTCAGGGAAGGAGCATCAATACTGATTCACGGGACAGAGGGAATTGATTCCACCCTTCAGGTGACCTCGCTGGCCCAGATCATCTTGGAACCAAGAAGCAGGACCATCCGTGGCTTCGAGGCCCTGATAGAAAGAGAGTGGCTACAGGTGAGAAAGCCGCTTGACATGCCGAGGAACCGCTAGTAATTGGTGTTGTGATCCTGGTTGGTCGTAGCCGACATGATGCATGACATTTTGATTGATTAAAATTTTTAAATTGTGTGTTTAGTTTTCTGCAGGGCAGTTAATCTGTCTTCTCCTCATTTCTGCATCTCTCTTTGCCTGTATTGTTCACTTGGCACCTCATTCACTTGTCAAATTGTCGTTAGCTGTACTGTGTCACACGCAGGGAAATGCGAAGGATGTAAAACATAGTCTAGTCTCCAGAAGCTTCGTCTTGGTAAGAGATAAAGGCATCAGCAGTGGGGCTGGGAGTGGGGCTGGAGCTACAGGGCCATGTCCTTTAGCACTTTGTCCCCGTTGCTCATCTTGCCCTATCCTACCCTTTCCTTCCCTAACCAGGCGAAACCCTCCTCATTCTTTAAGCTCCAGCTAAATGTCACTGCTTTCGTGAAGTCTTTGAGACCTTAACTTCCTTCACAGATAAGATTGATCCATTTTTTTCGTGTCCTGTTTCCTGAACTAGACCCCAAAAAAGGTGACTTCCTTGAAGTCAGGGAGCCACGCCCTGTTCGTCTGTTTATCCCTAGAACACAGCACAGTGCTCTCACGTAGTGCTGGATGGCGACTAAAATGAAGGTGTCGTAACAGATTGAAATCCTCCAACTTAGACGTTAATTTACGAATGTGTGTTCACTGCGTAACAGTAAATGATTGGGATTGAAAATGAATGCTGAGATATATCGAAAGCACACATATCGCTGGTAAAAAAAAAAAAAAAATTTCTAGCCATTCTAGTTATAATTCAAATTTATTATGTATAAATACTCTTATGTATACCATGTCTACCCTGCCTGACGGCTGACCTTTATCTCTAAGTCGGACCATCCTAAATTTGCCTTCCATATCTGGTGAAAGTCTATTCAGCTCTGTTCCTCGTGGTGCATAGTAAACAAATGAGTGTGATTGCCTTATTTACATATTACCATTTTAATGGGTATCAGAATCCCATTAACCACTGTAATATTTTCGTGGCAATGTCGTTGTCAGATAAAATAGCGTAAGGACCCAAAGACAAGCAGGTCTCTGAAACACCCAGTAGTGTGTGATTTCTGGGAGGGTCAGTACTTGGGTTCTGGGCCACATGATTCTTCAATTTATTTTAGTCAGTAGATGGTAAACTCTTCCAGTTCTTTTGGGGAGAAGAGGGTATTTAAGGACAGCTTTGTCTGTAATATAAAAGAATTTATAACGATCTCTTCAAGGCAATACTTTTTCTAAATGTAACTAAAGATGCAGTATCAGAGCTGACCTTGCAGTTCGTCCCCCAGAGTCCCATGCGTGTCTCAGTTAGTGGTGAGGCTTAGGTGGCTTGCAGCGCAATGTACAGTGTTTTAGACAGGTAGAAGGTCACAGTTGCCCTTCGTTTTGTATCTAAGAGCTTATGTTCTTTGACTTTAATTTTACAGACCTAGAAAGATTTATTTTGTAAGTTAATCATTACTGGAATCCATTATTCTCCCACTTGCTGTCCCAAGCACGATTGCAGTTCCTGGGGTCAAGCTTACCTGCACAGCCTTGTTAAGGGTTTGAAAGTTGCGTCTTTTTCCTTAGTTGGCGAAGTGTTTATTTTAAACCAAGAAATCGTCCATCTAAATAGCAGCTACCCTAATTACATATATGATGCTCCAATTAATAGCGATGTTATTGTAACTGTGTGCTACGGTGTTAACAGAATGTGCTATAGGGGATCTCACTAGGACGTGACTGTCCCATTGCCGTCTTCCCCTCAGGCTGGTCACCCGTTCCAGCAGCGCTGCGCGCAGTCGGCCTACTGCAACAGTAAGCAGAAGTGGGAGGCGCCAGTGTTTCTGCTCTTCTTGGACTGTGTGTGGCAGATACTTCGTCAGTTCCCCTGTTCTTTTGAATTTAATGAGCGCTTCCTCACCATGCTCTTTGAGCACGCGTATGCCTCCCAGTTTGGAACATTTCTGGGCAACAATGAAAGTGAAAGGTGAGTGCACTGCTCACTTGGACATTTCATTTTTAGTTGTTTTGTTCACGCTGTAAGAGAGACCAGGGTCTGAGGACCCTTTGGTAGTTCGTAGGCAGGATGACGGGGTCTTCACGCTCACGTGTGAGATGAGCCTCCCTCTAACCTTGTTAAGACGCCAGCACGTATCCTGTGTGACGTGAGAAAAGAGACGAATATAGAACCAGGATTTGGTTCTGTGTTAATGTTATTTATAAGAAGGGAGAGGTTACAGTTAAGTATAAATTAAATTACATAAAGTATATTCTTATTCTGAGCCAGTCACATGCTAGGTGAGAGCGTGTCCCAGACTTTGTTGTGTTAGATTAAAATTAGCCCATACCCAGATTTAAAAGCTTTGAGTAAATGGGGCGACTGTTTCAAGTGTTAATTACTTTGTATAGTATGATAGTGTTTTATATCTGGAAGAAGCCCTTATTTATAATTCAGCTTTACCCTCCATCTCATTTTATAAGTTAAAGAAATATCCTGAGAAGTTAAATGACCTGTCCCAGGACACACAGCCAGTTGGTCACCAAACGTATGGCCTAGAGTGCAGGTCTTCCCGCTCCTGCTCTAGACTTTGTCTGTTACACTTAGATACTGTCCCCAGGCCCAGGGTGACAATCTCACTTCACAGCCCAGACACTATCAAGAAGATTCCCAGCAGGATGATTTTTAAAGGTGGTTAACTGGTAATCTTCCAAGCTGCTTCTGAGGGGGAGGCAGGATTTGCCTCATTGTTGGTGGTCAGCATTATTTAGTTGAATAGTAAATTTTTTTCAAAAATGTAATTACTTACTTAATTAATTTTTTTGAGACAGAGTCTCCGTCTGTCACCCAGGCTGGAGTGCAGGGGCGTGATCATAGCTCACTGCGGCCTTGAACTCCTGGGCTCAAGCATCCTCCTGCCTCAGCCTCCCGAGTAGCTGGGACTACAGGTGCACCCACTCTGTGGTGTTACACCTGTTAACTACACTCAGAACCAGGTTTCAATCTTCGTTAAAATGTGTTTTTTCCTAAAGTGTGCCAGCCTGCTTTCCTTCTCTGACAGTTTATTGTAAGAACGGCAAACTCACAGTGGAAATGCTCACGTTGTGGGTGTTGATTTGGCTACAGCCATAAATCTTCCCCCACCTTTTAGAACCCCTAAATAAAATGCCTGAGTAACCGCTTTTCTGTGCCCAGCACTCTCTCCCTCTTCCACTTCTTCCCTTGCCCATGGGAAAAAGTAAAATAAACTTTTCCTTCTTCCCATCCTAATCCTTGTGTGAGAAATCTTTCTCCGCCCAGACCAGCCTGAGCCACATAGTGAGACCCCATCTCTCCAAAAAATTAGCCAGGCGTGGTGCTGCACACCTGTAGTCCCAGCTACTCAGGGGCTGGGGCGGGAGGATGCTTGAGCCTGGAAGTTTGAGGTTCAGTGAGCTGTGATGACGCCACTGCACTCCAGCCTGTGCCACAGAGTGAGGCCCTGTCTCAAAAAAAAAAAAAAAGTCTTAGGTTCTCTCTGCTGTCAGATAAAGAGAAGAAATTGTCCCATTAAAAGGATCATTTAATAGTGGTTGTTATGAATTAATTACTTTAATGGCCATTTTCTTTGTGGATCAGATGTAAGTTGAAGCTGCAGCAGAAAACCATGTCTCTCTGGTCCTGGGTCAATCGGCCCAGTGAGCTGAGCAAACTCACCAATCCTCTCTTTGAAGCCAACAACCTCGTCATCTGGCCTTCGGTTGCTCCGCAGAGTCTTCAGCTGTGGGAAGGTAAACCACGAATCCTTCGCAAACTGTCTGGCGATCAGGTGTGCCGCATCGGCTGCCTGTGAGCACGGGCCGCTGTTCATAGTTGAGGATGGTGAGCTGGACGTGCCCCTCAGACCATGTGTAATCGCTACTGCTTTCTCCGTGTGGTCGTGGCGCTGTCTTTAATATCAGTTACCTAGCCATACTTTTTGGTTGCAGTCCCCACTGGAGAAGTGAACAGTGGGGATTATTCAATACAAACTGCTGTTGATGTTGGTCATTTTTCCCAGATAAGAAATACATTACTTTTTGCATGAAAGAGTTGGTAGGTAGTTGGGACATGAATAAATTGTAAACTCCTCCCGGGGGGTTTCTGCCTGTTTCGTTTATTAAGGCCAGGGTTCTTGTATTAAATTCTGTGGAAGGGTTGCATGGCTAGTCACCGCAGTAAATGGACGCAAATGCCACCAACGGAGCAGTGCAGATGTCTCGTTCACATGGAACAATAATCCATACTTAATTTTCAAATCTATTCTAAACTAGGTTTTTTGCATACACTAATTTTTCAGACTACTGAAGCCTATCCCCTTAAGTAGTTTGTTTTAAAAAAACAAAATCTATCTAAAATTTGTTTATTAAACAAAGATTCTAAAATACCATTTAATTTCTTTTTAGCCATTTTGAAGTTATTAAGCCCGTATTTCTTCATGTTTGCATTAAGCAGTATAAAACATACACACAAGAATAGTAGCTATTTGGTAAATTAAACCGAATTACCATAAATGTCAGTTGTTATACCATGTTCTAATGTGTTGTGCCCTCAGAGGTGGTTCCTGTGTAGAAAACTGTTTGCCCTTTGTGTAAAAGGGTCTCAGATCGCTCTGCTTTCTTGGTTTGGGAACCAGTCAGGGTCTGTCTCCTCTGGACGTCAGCTGTCACATCTTGTTCCTCCTGGCATTTCTACCATTAGCCGTTTCCCTCCATTTCAGCTTGTACCTCTGAGGTTAACAGCCATGCTTCTTGTTTCAGCCTTCTGGGACAATTCACCTAAAGGCCACTGTCACGTTTAATCACTGAAATCAGAGACCAGCCGTTTGGGAGAAAAGCCAAATTGGGAGCTGGATGGCCTGAAGGATGATTTAATTAGTTTGTGCTAAACCCCATTGGGAGTTTAGGGATTAGGTGATGGAAGGAAACCCTGGTTGTTGTATGGCTGAATTCCTGTGACTCCAGGGTTTCAGTGTGTGCTTAGCGCCTCTGCAACTTAAAGCTGGGAGAAATTCTACATTAAGTAAAATCCTAGGTTGGTGTATGCATTGAATGAGACTGCTCTCTGGCCTTAAAATGTCTCTGTGTTGTTTACATCATAGCTAACCGTTAATATTAAGTAATTCCTGTACCAAAGAATAATAGGCTCATATAATAGAAAAATCATCACGGGTTAATGAATCTTTAAGGTTATGGTTCTGTTTTCTCTTTCTGATAGAAAGTAGGATTTGGGCACACACAGAAGGGCTCCTTAGGGCCCATGACAGGTTGGTTTATAGAAAGTGTGTTAAAGAATCATAAAATCTTTGTGAACTTGCCAGCTACTGATGTGTGGCAACCTGGGAGGTTTTGTACCTTCTTATTTAAATACCTTTAAGGCATTATTTTGGCGTGATATAGTCAGCATAGGTCTTTGTAGAGGAGAAAATACCTCTTCTTAGTCCATAATAAAAGGATAATTTTCGGAAGACTGCCTCTCAGGCACCAAGGAGAGAGACAGAGACAGCGTGTCGAGTGCATGTGCTGACGTTCAGGCTCTTAAGTAACAATTTATGTGGTTCGGCTTTTACTGTAACTGTCACTTTTCCAGTAAAAGTGGTTTCACACATGTAGGAGACCTTACAGGCCTAAATAAAATTCTGTGATTATAAGAACAAATGATTTGTACTGCAAAACTGAAAAGTTTATGGCACTGTAAATTAACAGCTTGTTTTCGTGAATATATCACAGAATGGTAATTCGATCTATTTGATCATTTTCTGAAGAATAATGATCATGTACATGTAAGTGGTGATTCTTGGACACAATTGCATTCTTTTCAGTACTTCGAGATTCCTCTATATTTTAGAACAGAATAAAACACAGACGTGAGCTGTGAAAAAAAGAATGTATAATACATGGAATTATGTATTATCCACAAATACAATGTTAAGCCATTGCATGTATCTTTTTTCCTTCTGCTTCCCATTCCTGGATTCCATAGGTATTTTCCTACGTTGGAACAGAACCTCGAAGTACTTGGATGAAGCCTATGAAGAAATGGTGAACATCATTGAGTATAACAAAGAATTGCAAGCAAAAGTCAATATCCTGAGGAGGCAGTTGGCAGAACTGGAAACAGAGGACGGGATGCAGGAGAGTCCCTGAATGGTGTCCCCACACCCGCCATAAGGACCTTCCTGGACCTACGTCCGCCTCTGTCTCCCCGTGCGCACTTCAGTTCACTTTCACACGGTAGCCTTGAACTCGAGGCTGCAGACGTGGGTCCCTCTGTGTAGTGGGTTTCTCGGTACTGTATGGACGACACTTACCATAAGGACTCGTGTTTCACGTGGCCTGTTAGGCCCCTTCACCTGGGAGCAGGAAGGAGGTGCTAGTCATTTTATTTTATGTGAAATAGATGACCTACTCAATGCCATCTGTGTTACACTCCACTTCCTCCGAAGCTTTTGTCCACTTTCCAAACAGTGCTGTAGACCAGCCAAGGATACAGTTAGTCTCTTTAGGGAATATTCGGTGGTTTAAAAAAATGGTTAGTTTTAAACACTCCGGGTATAGACATGTTTTTCAAAACTGAAGTGATTGATAAACAAAGCATTTTGTGTTTAACATGCCACTTCCAAGATCTAGGCCACATAAAGCAGCCATTCTCTTTAAAACAGTTTTGGACTAGCAACGCTGAACTCACTCTGGTTCGTCAAGAAAGGAAAATCTGAATACTTATTCGAGGTAAATTATTTGTACAAGGGCAACGGGTATAGTCGTCTGTTATTTACAATAAGAAGAGTTAAATTTTAATATTTTAACAGTAGACACTGAGAGTATGTGCAATATAGAATTAAAGTAGGAATTTGTTACTGATAGAGAATTGTTACCGTTATATTGGTTTTTCAAGTTTTGACCATACATATAAAATGTGTATAAAATACTGGATGTAAAATCAAAATCAAACCATCACTTAGAATAGAGTTAATGTGTTATAATTAAGCTACAAATACGGTTTTCGTAAACCAGAGATGCACTGCCCTTGTCTAAAGTTCTTATCGCACTGGTTTATATATACATGTGTGTGTTTTATTGTGTTTTTTATTTGTAAGTATTCTAAGGGTTTACTAATACTAAGGTTAAAATTTTCATGTTGTCCTGAGCCTTTTGCAGATTTATTTTAACTCTGCCAATTTGTCCATATGCATCAGGCAATAGGGCTGGGGGGAGATGCAGCCGTGTGTGTTTCATGCATCAGAAACGGATCTGAAATGTTTCAGTGTTGCAGACAGAGCGATGGCTGTATTCATGTTCTGCTGGTTTGTTTATGCCTGCAACTCCAGATGTTTGTGGTTCAGTACTTCCCATGTTCATTTCTGTTTTGTGGCACTGCTCGTTTTAACAAATACCATCAATTCTAGTTTTCCTTTAAAAGGATAGTTGACAGGTAATCTTTAATACCATTCCCACACCATCTGTATATAACCATTTCAGAGTAGAACACACCACACTGAACCCTGCTTCAGAGCTATGGATTGAGCTAAAAATATAATTTTTAAAAAATCAACTAGGAAAATCTATGGCCACATCCAGAAGGCTTAGAAAGTAGCCCAGGACTTTCCATCTCCAGTTGCCCAAGCTTCCTCTTTTTTCTGCTTCCTGAGACGTGCAGCAAAAGGCTGGACAACAATCAACAGTCCAAACTCTTGGTAAATTCGCCTGCCACCTGTGTAAGCCCAGTTTTATTCTTATTTTCTTAGTTATAAATCTTGGGGTATGAAAGTTGTATGACAAGGAGCATAAAAGTGTGCTGATATCTCTGTGTCGTGGGAAACGTCTCTCTTTTATAAAAGAGGAAACAGCCCAGCTTTTTTATGGCCCCTCAACAGTGCTTGCTGTGTCTGTCCAAGAAACCTTTTTGTTTTTTCCTATTTTTGTCTCAAGACAACAAATGAAAAGGAACCTTTTTCTTCTCAACTAATTGACCCATAAGGAAAACCATCTAGAGATTTTTCTTTAGACGTGATCCCCACTGCTTATGTTCCCTGCTGGAGGGCTGCCGTGGGTGGAAGCCTCTTGGTCATGGGGAAATTGTGTGCCATCAGTTTATACCTGTTTTCCTGATGGACATTTGACGTTGGAGCCAGAGTACATGCTATTTTTCCTTCCTCTTTTTCTTCTTTATTTTCAATTTCTTTTTCTCCTCTTATTGAGACAGCAATCGTCACTGTTTTGGCAAGTTTGCATTTTAGTATTAATTTATAATTACGGATTGTCCAAACCTCAGATCTGTTTGCAGGTTGTAAAAACAAACTTTGGTATCAATAAGCTTTCAAAAGGGTCGTTTAGTAATGCAAATATTTGGGTTTTCCCAAAGTCAAGAACTCTGTCAGAAATAAGTACGTTATCGATATAATTTGAAGAGGGTTTTTAGTAACACTATTAAGCTACCCCTCCTTGGATGAGAAGAATAAATAAAATGGATGCACTCATGATAAGATAATTATTGAACACTAAGTCTGGAAAGTTGCCTTTGATAAAGGTGGCATTAAGAAAGTGAATGAAGAGGATGAAGGCAGGACTTGGGAATTGCCTAGGAGCCAATTGTAGGCGCCAATAACAATCAAGTGAGACATAATCCGATTCGTGGATATTAGTCATCGTCTCTAATTTATGGTGAAGGCTGGTTTTCATTTGGGGCATGTAGTAGGCCCCACAAAGAATATTTTTAAAATACAAAGGATCACTGCAATTCTCTATCAACAATACAAGGATCTTTAAATTTAAATTAATAATTTTTTAAAAATCAGAAGAACATAGTTGGCTGTTATATACAAAACCTGAAACTTTTTCAGTGGCAGGACTTTTCAGTAACTATTTGTTTGGCCAAAACTTTTGATTTTGATTTTATTGAATGGGAAGAAAACAAACAGAAATAGTAGAATCCAGTAGGTTTCAGACAACCTATAAATGTATTTTATGTCTAAGAAAACTTAGGCCATCAAAGCAAGATTTTAAAGTGATATTTTAGAAAACTTGGGAAGACAATAATAGACATAAATTTCAAATCCCATGTGGGGGATTTTAAAACCTTAATTTCGAGGCCTGATTTTTACAGGTGGACTCTTAATGCTTTTCATTTAGAGGATGAAATTTAATGGGATTTTAGTCTTTGATTCAGTCAGTATTTGGTTTATGTTAGGTGAAAAATCAGTATCAGGGAAAAGATTTGACCAGTAGTTTAGTCTCTTGAAGTGAGAAATAGGCGTAACATCGTGCTGCATTTTGAAGAATCCGGTTAGTGACATAACTCCTGTAGTTATCCGGGTTCGGGAATAGCCGTTGTTATTGTCAGTCTTCAGTTGGGCACCAGGTTCACTTACTGTCAGACCTTTACACCCGAGATGGAGGTTTGGCATCTGCCCATTTCCAGATTTAATGAATGAAAACTGCATGAGGGTGTTGTAAGCACTCTTTATTAGAAAGGTTATTTCCTGGACAAAAAAAAAGGGGGCAGTATTTAGAATAGCTGATCCCTTGTTCTGGAAGCTTTGAAATGTAACAGAATGAAGTCATTCCGTGTATCTGATTCAGGTTTATGCTATACGTCAAGACAACATAGGTTTGTGACATCTTCTTTATTACGGGCCAGATCTTTTTTTCCCCTTCAGAGGTGGTATCCTAAGTTATTACCAGATAGTATTTTTATGTTTTCCATCATCTTAAAAATCATTAAAAGACCGATTTCTCCATTTATATTTATTCTCAGATGATATGAAATGCTAAATTTCTTATAGTATCAGTTTCTAATTTTTATTTTCTTGAATAAAATTATTTTCACCTCCACTTGGTCTTCATAATCCACCGTTCACGGCCTTTTTTTCCTTTAAACCAGAAGAGACTCTCTAAAATTCTAGGAGTGTGTTTTAAAATGCCTACCCTTGTCTAAATTTCCCTTTTAAGAAACCTAATGTCCTATCTTTGAACTACACTGTGGAACAAATAGTTTGTGCTCAATTGAGTGGAGGATAATGGCGCTTACTGTAAACACTACATTGCCCTGAAAAGTACTTCCTGGTAAGAGCTTACCGACTTAGAGCCATGTGTTTAACCGTCTGCAAGTCTAAGGATTCACTGTATTTGTGATTTGTAATAAAATCGAGTTGTACAACACTGCCTGTGTCTATCTGACCAAGACGTTTGCTTCACTCTTAGAATGCACATACCTTTGGAGAGGTGAATTACTCTACACAGTGCACCCTACGTCCCACTGTTTAGAATCCTTATAGATCGATCGTCATCTACACTAAGAACGTTATACTTGCACAAGTTAGTTTATTAAAAAAAGATTATGTATTTCAATAGCCGGGTATTTTGATTGTACTCTTGATATATTTGAATGTGACTCTTGGATTTAAGTGCACTATTATTCATATCTTACACAGTAAAATTGCACTGTATGGCGGATGTCTCTATAACGTATGCTTTGCTAAAACCTCAGAGTGCTGTAAGGCACAGGTTTCTATATTGCGAACCTGTCTATATATACATATATGGTCTTAGGGGGAAATTCTGAACTTTTGTAAGTCTGTGTAACATTTTAATATTATTTGTAATGTTCACTAAGTGATAAGTTCACTCGTGTTCTACAATTGGACTCATTTAGCTTGAGTTGGCTGGTTTGCCAAGCTTGGTTTACTGAATCAAGAAACAGTTTCGTCAAACATGGTACTGTTATTAGTGTGTAATATTTGTGTATGGTGTTCTCCCTCTGCCTAGGAGGCTGTTGCACAGATGCTAGTGTGAAATTTCTACAATGGTAATAAAATTTGAATATATTCAAGTGCTGATAAATCTGTAGGCTGATTTTAATTTTTTTCAAATATTTGTGAAGGTTTTGACAATATTTAAATTAAAAATGCTATATATTTTTGACCTTATATTTTGAAAAGCTGAGATCTACAGAAAGGTTGCAAAACAGTGCAAGAGCTTCCATATGCCATTCACCTATATTTAATGATTGATAACATTTTCCACATCTGCTTTAACACTGTGTGTATATTATTACTGTTGTTATTTTGCTGAATAGCGAGTAAGCTGCAGACATTGTGATCTTCCAAATACTTCACAGGTAGCTCCTAGGAATTAGTATGTATTGTAATTAATACATACTATTCAGTTAGTATTTATAATATTAATAAGTAAATTAATCAATGAGGGGAAAAAGGAAAGTTCATCCTTAGTGTAGAATGCCAACCATTAAATGTAGAAAAAAGGATGGAATTAAAAAGCCACTATTTGGCAAGTTATCACAGTAATCATTGTTTTAGGAATATCAGTGAATGGCAAAACTAGTAGGGGAAAGTTTGTGAGGAAAAGAATATAGTCAATGTGTCTTCCCACAAAATGCTTATTAGTTACAA